GACATCTTTGCCCATTTTCGGCATGTTGACCACTGTCAGAAGGCAACATAATTTCTTTTTTTTTTTCAAAATCAGGCGAAAATTAATGCGCGCGTTGATGTCATCCATAAAAATTACTTGCTGTGGCCTAAGTATTGTTTACCTGGATGTCTAACCTTCATCAACGTAATAGCAAAAGAACACTATTGTATCGTATCGTATGTTGTGAAGACGACAATGACAATCACTTGTTACGAAACGAGCGGCAACATCTACCATGCTGCGAAATCTTGCTTATAACAGTGTCCGGATTAAATTTGGACAGTCCAGTTCAATTCCGGACTTACTACTTCCCATATCTTAGCAACTTTTTTTTTTTAAATATTTTTTTATTCATTCACATGAAAAAAGGATACAGGACATGGTGATGCCTCACTCAAGTGGAAAGCACTTATGTTGACGGCACCACTAAATAAATACATATAATAAAGAAAAGAAACAATCGCAACTTTAAGACAGGCAAAAAACAGTAAATACAAGAAGTTCAAGAGCGCAGGTCCGGTTCCCCACCCAATGATAAATGATGGCAAAGAGGACACAGTACATAAATAACAAAGGGGGAAATTGAAATCTTTTAAAAACGTTCTGATGTGGTGATGCAACCAGCAACCTTACATCTAGATGTGCTAATATCGTTAGCTACAGGTAAAAATGATGTAAGAAATACGTAGCAGCCATCGAGGACCCCTTAGGGGTTACCAGTTCTGCAGAATTCTAGGAACCGGAGCCAGAATTCTGGGACTGAAGCCAGAATTCTGCAGAACTCTGGGGTCCTCGATGGCTGCTACGCATTTCTTACATCATTTTTACCTGTAGTTAACGACATTAGCCCATCTAGATGTAAGGTTGCTGGGATATGGAAAGTAGTAAGTCCGGAATTAAACTGGAAGTCCAGAATTAATCCGGACACTGTTTTATATGTATATTTATTTCCGTACGTGCTGATGACGCAATATGACAACGTTACCATGTGAACGACTGAATATATAACTTATTTGCTTCTTATAGCTTCCAGTTAATTGCAACGAAATATGTACGACTAGAATGACGTTGGCCAAGCCAATTTTTCTGTATGGTATTTATAGTTTTGTTATTATATAAATTTCCTATCAGTGTATGCATATATCTGAATGCGTCACACCTACATGTAATAATACACATATACGTCAATACATGTGCTATAGTGTAAATGTTGGATGGTACAGACAGATTACTATTGTTGTAATCGAACATTATCGGCTTGCTTTCAATGTATGTTGTACACAGAAAGGCTGTTCCCTGTCCTCTTTTATTCTGATGTTTTTAAGCTGAGAGCAGAAATGTAATAATGATCATTCGACAACTTCAGATCTGAGTCGTGTTTCTTTCTTCTTCCTGCGTGAATGAAAAATTTCTGTTTCATTTCATTTCATTTTATTTATTTATACAGGTTAGCATATCGCCATTTTGGCGCTATTCAAAGCTCCCTGTGACATACATAACATAATAAAAGGTACCTTAAGTACAATCAAAGGGTAATGATAAAAGAAACGGAACAGACTAATAAAGTACATAAAACATACGAAATAAATATGACAAATGATATAAATAATAATGGAACTGAATTTGCATCTCAATGTATAAAAGCAAAATGGAAAATTAACAAATCATATTAATCACTATTTAATTAATTAACTGTTGAGTAAAGAAAAGGTAGTCTTGAAGACCCTGAGTGTTTTTGCATTTCTGACATTAGGAGGAAGTGTGTTCCAGAGGACTGCACCGGAAAACGCTTTGTCACGGGCCCATGACGATTCTATGACGTCAGCCATGACGTCAAACCTCGAGTGGGATAATTACCACCGCAAAACCACAAGGAAGGAAGAGGGAAGCGGAAAAGCTGATTGTGGTTGAACGCTTTGGCAACCGCTAGATTCAGTTGAAGAGATCTGTTTATGTGATTACGGTTTACATAATTGCGGCAGGCGGAGTACGTATTTAGCACGGCAGAAAGTGGTAAACACTTAAGCGCTTAGGCCACACCAAGTAAATTTTATGGATGATGTCCTTTGGAGACCCTAAATCATATGCGAGAGGGCGAAAAAAAAACAAGAAGGGCCCTAAAAACAAGATGCCTAGATTAGAAATACACTAAGAGACGACAAATGTTAGGACACAAATTGAATGAGGTGACACAGTGTAACCAGCAAGAAGTCTTTTATTCATCATCAAAACAGCAATAAATCAGGTGGAACAGTGGACAGTGAAAAAAATTCTGTTATTGACAGGATGGTGCTGTCTGTTATTGATATACACTTTCAATATATCTCAATATAGACACTTTCTTCGCGTTACGGGTTTAACATCAATCTGGTGATTTGCGGCACT